TATTCACAGTTTTTAACAAATTAAATATGTTTTCGCTCCTCGTGATCTATTTTCCCCTTGGCTGCCCTAGTTCGGGAATTCGTGTTCGGACTCGTCCTCCTGCCCAATGTTCGATCTCCGACTCAGACCCCACGAATTCGTCGAATTCCGAATCTCGACTTGACTTCGCCCATGCTTAATTGGCATTGCCCTCCCAACGAAACGAGTTTGCTGCCGAGTAAGCAAAACCACTGTTGGCTTGTAAACAGGAATTAAAACTTCTGAAGTCTGAATACATAAAAGTCTGCTCTTTCCTGACCTTGTATTTTGTTGCACTCATTTGTATCGAGACAAGCTCACCACCATGGCTGTCATACTTATTCCCTTGGATTCCAGCAAAAACAGCGAGTTCTGTTTGGAATGTAAGTACGCCGATACACCGGTTCATCCGAGTTTGTTTAGTGTTCTGCCGGGAGAAGCTTCGTGATTCAAAAGCTAGACTCTAGATTCTAGATCTAGAATCTAGATCTAGATATCTAGATCTTTTGCATCATCTTTCGTTACCATTGACTTGTACTGTGATTAATGGAAATAAATTCCTCATGGTCGACCCTAGAATGTTGGATTCAGTATGGTTTTTAAACAGCGGAGAATTATTTGATTTTAGTTTTGTAGTCTCATGTATTATTTTATATTTTAAAAACTGTAAAACCAAACCTTTTATCTCTAGATATCTAGATCTAGATCTAGATCTAGATCTAGATTTTCTAGATTCTATTTGTAATTGTAATAATCTAGATATCTAGATCTAGAAAATCTAGAATTTAGTAATATTTTACTCTGTCTATAATAAACTAGATCTATAAGTTTGTTTGTCAGTAAAACCGACCGCTGACGCTGTTGTAACTAAACTGGGCCTATTTAATTCAATTTTTTTTTTTTTTAATCTTGAATCTCAATCCACTTTCAAATCCTTACCAGCCCAAGCAGTTTAGACAGTGAGTTTAACTAGTCTATGTGGGAGGCATGAAACAGAGTAGGATAGAGGGTTAGGGATTGGAGTGAGGGTCAGGGAGAGGTCTATGTATATAGGGTTTTACGGCGCTCGCAACTGCTAAGGCTAAGGTCATATGAGCGCGCGAAACACAAGTTGTTTACTTTCGCAAAAGTTCACTCCACGACTGGTCAACTAATCGACTTTAAAATGCTAAAATGTTAAAATATTAAAATTTAGTGTAAATATATATTTTTGTGATTTAAAACAACTCTTTTAGGTAATAATAAAAATTTTAAATAGTACGTTTTCATTTTACAACTTGCCATAGAAAGGCCAATGGCCTTTATAAAACTCAAAATTCTGCTGGGAACAACGACGGAAAAAATATCTTGCAATTTCTTGCATTTATAATACTTCCTTCAGATCTCTCCAAAGTCTAGACATTCTGTTAAGATGTGTCGAATGGTAAAATCTGTGTCGCATCCGACACAGAACGGCTTCTCATCTCCCTGTAGGAGGTATTTGTGGGTCAGGGCCGTGTGTCCGATGCGCAATCGAGTAAAAATGACTTCGTCTCTTCTGGAGAGGTCCGAAGGATTTCGCTGTTCTAGTTTCGGTTTAATTTCAAATAATTTATTATTTTTCTGCTTTTCCCAGTGGCTCTCCCACAGACTGGAAGTGTACTTTTTGACTTTATTTCTAAAGTCAGTCTGTGGGAGAGTGTTTGTCGTTGATCCCAGCAGAAGGGATGAAGCTTTCTTCGCCAGTTCGTCCACCTGCTCGTTTCCTTGGATGCCCACATGGCTGGGTATCCATGCGAACATGATGTTTTTTCCTGTTTCGGATAGTGTATGAATTTTCTGTTGTAGCCTAACTATTTTTGGGTGTAAGAGTGTGTAGTTTGTGAGTGAGGTGATGCAAGACAGAGAGTCAGAAAGGATAAGGAAAGATTTGTTAGGAGAATTTTCTACAGAGTCCAGTGCCATGTCAATGGCAGTGGCCTCCGCAGTGAAAATGGAGGCTTCAGGATGGAGTCTCCTCTGATGTGTATTGTTGGGAGATAGGGCTGCGGCGCCCACTTCATTGTCTTTTTTGGAGCCATCCGTGAAGATGAGCTCCGCACCGGGGTATTTATCTATTAGTTTTTTGTATTCTGCTTGAAAAATTTTGGTGTTTGTGCTTTCTTTGTTGTGCGTGGTCAGCTGTAAGTCTACTTTTGCCTTGGTGAGGTGCCACGGAGGGAGGTCGGGGAAAAGAATTTGTTGGATGTCTTGTTTGGAAAAGTGTAAGTTTTTGAGGTCCTCAAGGATTCTGAGGCCGAAGGGTTTGATGAGTTTTTCGTTGTTTTGGAATTTGTTTATGGTTTCTGGGTTTGTTTCGAAAATGCTGTTGTGCGCTGGATTTTCCGGTGTTGAGCTCTGTTTTACTGCGTATTGTAGTGAGAGTTGTGTGCGTCTGAGTGAGAGTGGTGGTATGTTGGCCTCGGCCTGGAGGCTCTCTACCGGAGAAGTGCGGAAAGCCCCCAGAGGGAGGCGGAGTCCTTGGTTCTGTATTGGGTCTAGCATTTTTAAGATGTGTGGTCCCTGCGAACACAACACATACCACTAAATTCCTACCTTAATAGGATCCGCAAGGATACCCCACCCGACTGCCCGTTGTGCGACTGCCAGGATGAAACAGTACCACACCACCTCTTTTACTGCCCTGCACTTTGTGACCTGCGTAGCACCTACCTACCTGCCTCCCCAGACATCGGAAACACTCTATACAGCGACAAAGCACAGCTGATTAAAACCTGTCAATTCTTTGCCATATCGACAGACCGAAGGGCTAGAACCCAAATGGCCGCTGGATCGGAAAAGTAAAGTAAAAGTAAAGTAAAGATGTGTGGTTTTGCCGATCCGTAGACTTGACAGCCGTAGTCAAGCCTGGACCGGACAAGGGAGATGTACAAGTGGAGAAGGTGTTTTGAGTCCCCGCCCCACTCCGGATGCGATAGAATTTTCAAAGCGTTTAACGCTTTCTGGCACCTCACACGAAGGTCTTTGATGTGTGGTATGAATGTGAGTTTTTTGTCGAAAATGACGCCGAGGAAACGAGCTTGGTCCTGGACCGGAATCCTTTCCCCGTAAAGTGTCAAATCCGGCTGCAGCACACGTCTGCCTGTTCGGCAGAAGTGTACTGCAACCGTCTTTGACGGGGAGAACTTGAAACCGTTCTTGTTTGCCCACGTTTCAAGTTTTTGCAGCTGCGTTTGCAGCTGCCTTTCCATAGATCTCAAATGAGGATTTTTCGAACGGCAGCATATCAAAAAGTCGTCAACGTATAACGAGCTGTCTATGTTGTTTTGGAGGGTTTTCACTATCTATGGAATTTATTTTAATTTCAAATAGGAGAGGAGAAAGGATACTCCCCTGGGGGACTCCTTCCTCCTGTTGGTGGGGGTCTGAAAGGGAGGATCCGACACGAACCTGGAAGGAACGGTTCTTCAGGAAGTTGCCAATGAAGGCAGGGAGGTGACCGCGTATGCCGAGTGCGTGCAGGTCTCGAAGAATGCCGTACTTCCAGGTTGTGTCGAAGGCTTTTTCTAGGTCAAAAAAGATGATGATCATGTGGCCTCTTTCAGCGAACGTCTCGCGTATAAAGGTCTCCAGGTGGACCAGGTGATCCAGAGTGGATCGAGTTTTCCTGAATCCGCACTGGAGACCGCTCAGCGAGCCCGTCGTTTCCAGAAACCACATGAGTCGCCTGTGAATAATTTTTTCAATCAGTTTGCAGAGACAGCTCGTTAGGGCTATAGGTCTGTAATTGGATGGGTGTGTGTGGTCTTTGTTAGGTTTGGGTATTGGAATGACAGTGGCGAGACGCCAAGACTCCGGAAAGGAGTGCGACCGCCACATGTCGTTGTATATGTGTAGTAGGAGTGTGAGTGTCTCTGAGGGTAAGTGTCTAATGATCTTGTTGTGGATGTCATCCGGTCCCGGGGCTGTATCGCCCAGGTCCGAGATGCACGATGTTAGTTCGTCTATTGTGAAGTCTGCGTTGTAGGTTTCAGTGTGGTCTACTATAGTAATAGTATCTATAGGGGGTTAGGGAGGACTCTTCTTTATTGTATTTGTTGGGGTGGTCGCTCGTTACGGAAGTCCTTCCAACTATGTAGATCTAGGCCCGACTAATTAATTAATTTTACAGTTTTAGTTTTGTTCCTTTGTTCCTTTAGAAAGCATTAGGTTTGATCAGGCCTCAAGTTGTCTCGCATTATATTGACATATTATACTGTAGTTGTAGGCCCTCTGCCTGTCATTTGTGGGGCAGCGTTTGTCAAAATAGTGAAATCGAAGAAACTGACATTCTTCTGTCAGTTTGGCAATTTTTGTTGTATTTTTTCTTTTTGGCTCAACATCTTTTTTTATGTGTCCTAGATCTATAAAAACACATTTCCATGGGAATTTTGGTGAAAAACGTTGATTAAAGGCAAAAAAAATTTGATTTTTAAGTTTTCAAAGAGTCTCAAGCTTTTGAAGTTACCAAACTTTGGCAGCCTTTTTCTTTAACCTCTGAATTCAGGCGACCCCCACCTCCTTCAATTCCAAATAATTCGACTTTTAAGACTATTCATGATAAATGGGTATTTTTAAAACCGAAAGCAAGGCGAATGAATAATCTTTCAGATGATACCAATAACTCCACATGTTCAAAAATTGACGAGTGCCTGATTCCACCGCGTCGTGACACCTTTGTTTGAATATTTGGATACGTAAATTTTTATTATTTTAACTTTTTAACCATGTCTGGACGATGGCAGCGTCCGGTAGTCGAGGTCTGTTACCATGGCTGGACGGTACCACCATCCAATGCAAAGTTATTATTGTATTATAGTACGGGCCGTGTATAAAAAAGTATGAGCTAACAAGCCTTTAGTTTGACCCAGAGGTCAAAGCTAAATGAATTTTACGTCTGGGTAATGCTTTATTGATCAGTTTGACACGAAACAAGCGGTTTTAACTCTTTCCGGATGTACGTATCGCCGATATCAGCGCGAGTCCACACCCCATGAAGCATATCGCCGATATATCGGCTATGATGGGGTGCCTCAGTTTTGTTTCGTTTTAACATGATCCATTATATACATACTTTTTATTGTTATTGAAAACTTGGAAAGGGTGTAGGAAATGAAAACGTCTAGTTTCACTTTGTCAAAGTGTCGGTCTGGTGAAGAACGAGTGAATTAGTAGTTCTTGCGGTCTTGCATCAACAAAACGATCGAACCGGACTCAGTATAAATTATAACTCCATCCAGCAAAAATTGGAATATTGTATTCAAATAAAAGGCTGCACTTTCAGAAATTTATGGAGCCTTCTCATGGCCTGTAATGATAATATTATGCTGATTCGCTTTCATGTTTAGTGTGTTTAATTTTTTCC